AAACACCTTTAGTCAAGATTCCCAATGGTTAGGTAATGGTTTCTTGAGCTAGCACCAGTTATTTTGTGAGAACCTGCTGTGAAGCGATTTTTATTTTAAAAATCTCTTAGCACAGAACTTTGCAAGTACTTCCCTTGCACGCAAAAGGCAGGGAAAATAAAACAAAGCACAAAAGGAACCAAACATTAGCAGTGCACGCGGACAGCGCCTATGGACAGGGCACACTGGGAGATGACGGTTAGGACTCCATCCTTTCTGTTGCTATATTTGTTACTCTTAAAACTCGGTCATGTTGTTAGGTTCTTTAGTTGCAATGGCTTTAGTTTTCTTCTCATGATAAAAATGTCTGTTAATCATCTTTAGGACTTAAAAAAATGAGAGTGCCAGTAAAAAATAAAAATTTGATTTTTCTCTTTAAGAAACCTTCAGCAGCAAGGGGGGACAAACAGCTGTGCATAGTTACTTTAAATACACATCTAAAGCATGCTAATTTTAATGACTGAGATTTGAGGTAGGTTATACATGTAGTGTGTAAAAATCAGCACGGGCTTGAGCACGGCAACAGCACCACCTAACTCGCATAACACCATTCTGAGGGGGATGGGAACGTCCAATGGAGACTGCCTCTTGACATCTCTCAGCAGCCTGTTTCCTAACCTAGAAATTTATGAACCAAAGGCTGTTTGGGCTAGGGGACAGAAATCACATGCTTTTAGCTTGTGTTGGTTTCTCCTTTCATCTAATGGCTTTACTACCAAAGGGCGATGAGGGGAAAAGTATATTTAACATACATTGGGAAGATTCACACGTGCCAAGTATTAGAATCACCTGGGTTACACTCAGGACCTTCCAAACCAACAGCCAACCTGGGGCTTTCATGGGCCATACAGACGGTCACATTCTCAAAATGTTTTGTAAAATATTGTATTTCTTGCTAAGATCATTTAAAATGAAGTTTTCAAGGCACCCCCGCATCTACCTAAGCACGAGTCAAATGAGACCTGCATAAAAGCACTGATGTGATAAGCAAAATAGCATTTAAAGGACCCAACTTTTCCTCAAAACTAGAAAATTAGCATGCTCATTAAAGACTCTGCTTCCTTTAGCTCGTCAAACGGAAGGTCAGAGGTTTTCCTATAAATCTGAGTTCTGAATAATCTAAATCCTGATAAGCTCTTGGGTATTTATTTCAAAAGCAATAATATTTCATTTTTGTCCTGTAAAATAAATGCAACTTTACAGAATATGGTAAAAGTGAAGGATAGACAAAGCACGTTAAATATTCAGCTACTATTTACAATTCTCCCACAATTACATGTTAAAACATACTTTTTTTTTTCAAGTTGCTGTTTAAATCTAGGCAAAAGTGCTTAAAAAAAATCTTTCACTATTTACAGTTAAAACCAGACCACATAAATGCTCAGGACATTTTACAGCGATTCTCCGCCAGCACCTCAGGACCGGTTACAGTAAATGCCCAGCGGGTCGGCTCTCAGCTCTTACACAAGGCACCTGGGAGTGCAGGAACTTGCCTTTTAGCATTGTCATCTGATTGTTAAACTCATTTTACTAAGACCCACATCTGAATACAACTGCTCAATAAATATGAGGTTTAGCTCAGGGCTAGGTTTTCATTCTCTGAGTGGCCATTCTTCCCTTGTGGAGTGTCCTGATGTACAAACAAGGGTGAAGCCTCCCATTCACCATGTACATCCACGTGGGGAGCTTGGCAAAATTTCTGCTAACACCACAGCAGAAACACACACTCCCAAGAAGTTTGACTTGCTGCAGATGAGTGTCGCTTCTACCTGTCAGGCCCAACCTCTCTCAGTAATGTCGCAAAAATTAAGCACCACATTCTCATTTCAATGAACTGAATGAATGCACCAGAATTTTAGAAGGGGCATGTTAAAGTGGGTGGAGAGGGGAGGAAGGGAAAAAGAGATGATCAAATAGAGAAATGGCACCAATTACGAAGGAAAATTATAGCAACCTGCTGAAAACATTTGACTCTTGCATTGTAAAACTGTTAAGTGTAACCTCCACCCCTAAATGACAGTGTGGAGGGGGTGGGCTCAGGTGTGAGCATGCACCATTGTCCAATGTGGAAATCTGGGAACAAGGATAAGATAGATGTGTTAATCCGCTGTTACACTGGTTTGCTGAGCTCCGGCAGGGGACAACCTGCCCTAGAGTCAAGAAAGTCCCAGCACAATATTACAGCACCAGGCTCTGCACAGCGATGGACTAAGAGCAACGCTGGCTTTTCACAGCTTGGGTTCAACTTCTTGTTTTTAAAGATACAGTAGCCCTTTTCTGGTATCAGCATAGACTTTTGGGGGGCACTTAAAAAAAAAACTGCCACTAAGACAAATTCCTTCAGCCCAGTATTAATTGGCTTGTCAACTTGGCAGAAAGGTCTCCTAAGAGCCTTCTCAATTCCAGCTCCATCTGAGGTGCTGCCTAGTGAACATAACATCATGTGACTTGATCGGTAAGACAGAGAGGATTCAGTGTGGAGACTAGCAAGCTTGCAGCCTTCTGCTTCCAACCTGGTTTCTGGGGAAATCTATGCCAGCATCTCAGGTACCTGGCTTGGGGTGCACGTGCCCCACAACTCCAAGCCTACCAGAGAGGACAGAGGCTGTCCTGAGGGCTCCTTTCCCTGGAGGGAAGGCATGTCTGTCAGGAGGGATGGACTGGGTGGCTACAATCTACACTTGATTCACGAGGGACAGATGGCTGAGAGAACCTCGCCAGCGCCCAAAAGGGTCAGGTGCGCCGGGCCCCGCAGCTGGCGCAGGAGTGAGCACCGCTGGCCTTTGCTGCTGATCCTTTACCATTACTTTTGTCGCTTTAAAAAAATCCAATAAATACACATTTTAAATGGAATTTAAAACTACTCCTTTGTGAAAGGACACTATAAACTTTCTTTCCATTATGGTGATATACAAGGATAGGATTTTAAAAACAAAGAGAAAATAAAAGCCCTACCCCCACCCCCAAACAAGGGGAAAAAAAAAAAAACAAAACAATAACCCAACATGGAGATATAAATATTAAGATCACGGAAAAATCACCCGACAGCCGTAGTTTCTTCTTCAAAGTGCTGGGGAGGTGGGGGGTGGGGTGGGGGCGGGTCAGTTCTGAGGTTTGGACCATAAATACATATATATGTATATCTATATATGTATATATAGATAAAAAGACTTCTGCACCCCCAACCCGCCCCCAGGTGTGAGGGCAAAAGCACCAGAGGCAGCTCGGGCCAGGCCCGATGCTGAGGTACGCTGGCTCCCGGCACCTAGATCCAGCGGCTGTAGGGCCCAGTGACCTTTGTGTAGGCGTAGGAGGACACGGTGACTGCTGAGTCTGTGGGCACGGCCAGCGCCTGCCGGGTGGGGACGGCCCCCTTCTTCTCCTTATGCTGGGGCTCGGCAACTATGGCGCCCCCCCACTTGCGCTTCTTCCCGTACAGCTTGGCCTCCTGCTGACCCAGGCCCAGCCGGGCGGCCTCCTCCTGCCGTGCCCTTGCCCTCTCAGCCAGCTGCTTCATCTTGGCCTCCCAGAGGGCCAGCCCATGGTTAGGCTGGTTGAGGTTCTTGTGCTGGTAGAAGACCAGCGAGATGCGGGTGGGGTGGCAGCGGTTGGGCTTCTTGAGAGGGGTGGTGGCGTGCAGTTCTCGACGGGCACACTCGATGAGGATGGAGCCATGTGCGGGGGCCACAGCCACACCACCGATGTTCTCGTCCAGGAAGTTGTGTTCACTGTCTGACCACAGCTCCTCTTCCTCCTCCTCAGCACCACCTTTCTCTTCCTTCACAGTCCCCTTGATGGGGGGCTCCTCAGCTGTCCCCTCCTCCAGGCTGAAGGGATCCCACAGCTTCTCCTCAGACTTCAGGGCCCCAAACAACTTCTCGCTGGGGCCCAGTGGTACAGTGAAGGACTGCCAGGCTTTGTCCAGCTGACTGGCCCCTGGAGTTGGGATCCGTCCCTCCTCCCCTTTCATGGGGCTCCACAACTTCTCTTGGAACCCAGGGCCAGCTTTCAGGGCAGAGCTGAAATCCCCTGCCCCTATCCCCCATGGCTTCTCAGTCAGGCCGGCCCCAGCCAGGGCTGAGGCACTGTTCCCAAACTTGCAAGGACTCCATGGTTTGCTTCGCAGCCGTCCTCCAGTCTGGGGAGCTGGCTGCTGCCCCTCGCCAGGAAACAGCCCCCACTGGCCATCTGGGAAGTGGGACGGGGTCAGGCAGCCAGTCCCAAAGGAACTTAGCTTGTCGGGGATGATGGTGGGGCTCTCTCCAGCAGGGAACACACCCCAGCTGCCACCCACACTGTTAGTCCTCTTGGGGGACATGCTTGGGCCTCCTACATACTGTCCCCATAGGTGATTGGGTCCCCCATTCTGAGATGCCTCGGGCAAAGGTGTTTTGCCCATCTTGCCAGGGTCTCTGGATACAGATTCGGCCTGGGCCAGTGGGTCTACTGGCTCTTGCTTGATGGATCTGGTGTAGCAGTTGGAACTCTGGGCAAAGGGTGAGGGGTCCCTGGACACTGGATGGATCTGGGGAACCTTGGGAAGCAGGTAATCCTTGGGGCCTGGATAAGCAGGCTGCTGGTGGTGAGGAGTGGGGTGGTGGGTGTCTGTGGGAACAGCCTGGCTAGGCAACTCGGCAAACTCAGCACCACCGTAGGCCGGGCTCAGGCTGTTGTGCAGAGCATGGAGATCTGGCTTCTTCTCAAAACTGCTACTGCTGCCACTGTGCCCCCAGGCACCAGGACCCAGGAACTGAGAGGGGAAGACAGGGTTGCTGGATGGGAAGCCATAGTAGCCAAATGATGGAAGAGCATATTTGGAGTGGAACCCGTTGACAGAGGTCAGGCTGGGCTGTGCATAGTAGGAGTGGTAGGAGTACACGCTATTCATGCTGTAAGGGTCGGAGGGTCGGCAGTTGCCCAGCACCGAGTAACTCTCTACCACTGCATTGCCACTGTACTTGAAGGAGCTGAAGTGGCTCTGTGGCTCCACCTTGAGGGAGGGCTTCAGGCCATGCTGGGATAACCCACCTTTCAGAGACAGGCCTGGGGAAAAGAGAAGGCAAGATGAGAAGGAGAAGAGAGAACCACCATCTGGAAAGGGCCTACACAGGAAGCTGGGGATGGAGCTTATGTTCTTTCCCTAAGATGTTTCTCCTCTTCCAGGATAGGCAGCACAGGTGAGACGTGCCCAAGGCAGTTTCTGGACTTGCCCACCAGGAGCTGCTTGGCACAGGCTCTGGGTTTAGCCCTGCTAGCTACCAGCTGCCACTGAGTCAACTTACACAACCTCACGTATGTCAGAGCAGAACCGTGTACCACCGGGTTTTCAATGGCTGATCATCTATCTAGAAGATGATTGCCAGGCCTTTCTTTCAAAGTACCTCTGGGTAGATGTCAACCACTAACTTTTCAGCTGGAAGCCACGTATACATTAACTGCACCACCCAGTGTTTCCCCCAGCCCCGTGGAGCAGATCAAAGGCAGGCCTTTGAGAAGTGGCTCCTTCTGCCTCACTCTCCCTCATCTCTACTCTAGTGAACCCTAGAGACCCTCACAGAAGCACCACATCTGACCCCACCCCTGCATGCTGGCCACCTCCCCCAGAAGCCTCCCCATAGACAGCAGGGAAAAATGAGAATAAATGCATTCTGTGGCCAGCCACGCCTCATAAACCTGACACCCATCTTCCCTGGAGCAATGTTGCTCTCCTCACACCCTCAGAAGGGTTGAGAAGAACAAGCTAACAGACAACCAAATGTTGCTCCTCTACAAAGCTCAATTCTAGGAGGGAAGACCGTGTCCGAGTGGCTCATATCAGGTGGGGTCCTGGGGCTGCTGCCAATCTCTGACAAAATTGAGTTACTGTATTTTCCACATATAATGCACCCACACAGAAACAAAACCAAACTCACTGCCGTCGAGTCAGATCCGACTCATAGTGACCCCACCTTGGGTTTCCAGGTGGTATCACTATGGAAACAGACTGCCCAACCTTCCTTCCGAGGAGCAGCCGGTGGGTTTGAACTGTCTACTGTGTCACCAGAGCTCCTGAATGCACCCACATAAATAACAAACAATGCTCATAAACATATACTGTGTATAATGATTGAAGGGGTTGCATAGTTTGCAAAAAAACCATATAATATGTGTGTTATTTGCATAGAAGTATGAAATGGGGTGGTATAGATGGCTGAATAGAGGCCCCAGACACCCACAGTGCCCGCTGCAGTCACCCTACCCTCTCTCCACACACCTGGGTCAGTGGGGACGCCGGCTAGCTCTAGGACTTCCTGCTTGATCTTCTCGGGAGTGCTCAGCTTCTCCTTCTGGATCTTCTTCTTCTCAGCTGCTGCCTTCCTGGCTTCCAACTGCCGCTGGCGGCATGATTTGGCAGGCTCTGGCAGGCGCCGGACCTCGCGGGGGAAGGCAGTGAGCACCTGGATGGCCCCACTGCCCACCTTGGCATTCTGGTTCTCTTCACTGCCGAACTCATCCGTGTTGGCCATCTTGTACAGGGGGAGCACGTGCAACTGCTCATCCTCAGGGATCTTGCCCACGCAGCGATTGTCTTCCTTGGTCAGAGTGCAGACCTGCTCCAAGCGGAGAGAGGAGAACACAGGGGTCGGGGGAGCCATGTGCTGGGAGCAGGCCTGAGCACACCTGACCCCTTCCTTGCTCACATAGTCCCAACTTCCTCCAGCCACCCCACCCCAATTTTCTCTATTGTTTCCTAGAGTTTCAAAAAACCACATTAATCTTGGTTTACAGAACAACAACATATTACCACCACTTAGAGTCTGCTCTATAGTTCGTGAAGATTACAGCCATGGAAACCCTATGGGGCAGTTCTACTTTGTCTTATAGGGTTGCCATAAGTCGGAATCAACTCAGCACTAATGGTTTTGGTTTGTTTTTTTGGTATCCATCAATCAGGATGCTGCAAAAGGCAGCTCAGTGGAAACCTGGAGCCTCTCAGATGTCTAAAGTATGGCTCTGGGTCTCTTAGACAATTAGATTAAATCCAAAAGATTAGATTCATTCATTTTCAGCAAGTGTTTGTTAGAATACAGTGGACACAGTCCCTGCCAAAAGATGAGCTATAACGTCCAGTAGTGATGAAAGCTATAAGGAAAAGATGAAGCAGGGTAAGAAATAGAGTGATAGGAGGCACTGTTTTAGGTATAGTGGTCAGGTGCCCTCTCTGAGCTGAGACCTGAAGGAGGTGAAAGGAAGCTCTGTTGAGTGTCTGAGGCTGAGTGCTCCAAGCAGAAGGACCAGCCTTCTGCAGGATCCTCATTAGATACCAAGTATCCTCATAGATACCAAAAACCAAACCCAACCCATTTTTGCTATCAAGTTTGTTCTGACTCACAGAGACCCAACAGGCAGATCAGAACTTGCCATAGGGTTTCCAAGGCTGTAATATTTATGGAAGCAGACTGCCTCATCTTTCTTCTGCAAAGCAGCTAGTGGGTTCTTAGCAGCTGAGTCCTTAACCACTGCACCACAGGGATCCACTGATGGTTACAGGGGGGGATCAATAACCCACCTAACACACACACACACAAGGCCAGCCTTATCCATTCCTTTCTCAGTGAGAAGTAGGCAGGAACAGGCAGTCTAGCAGGGCACCTCCAAGAGTTTTAGAATCTCATCTTCACATGAGATCATCTACCTACTAAGCCCAGCCTTTCTGCAGAGACCAGTCAGGCTGCTTCCCAGGACTGTCCCTAGGACTATGACAGGACACAGCTTCCTTACCACAGTACACCCGTTGTACAGGTTATGCTGGTCCTTGTGGGCGTGGGCACAGAAATCCATGCAGGCCGTGACCCCCGCGAAGGGCCGCCCTTCCTTCAGCCCAAGGCGGCAGTCAATTGCTATTTCCTCATTGGTTACCTGTGTGGACAGTCAAGGAGGTCTGAGTGAGTGGCCCCATGTCTGCACCTGGGGAAGTTAGGCCTTGGTGAGAGGGAGGGAGGTTAAGGATCATAGTCACTTGGCATGTAGGCTGCAGGGTGAGATTTTCTATTCCAAAAAAGTTAGCTTTCAGACCCCTTTAGGAATGCCTTCTTTCTGGGTTATCTCAACTCTCCCCATGCAATGCAGGAGTGACTGGGGAGAGACAAGAACCTTCCCTGTGGAAACCAGAACCAGAAGAGCATTACTAGGGAGAGTGGGTTGAGGACCAGGGGTAGAGAAGAGATGGTCTGGGAAAAAGTTAGCTTGCTGCTAAAAAAAAAGGCGGGGGAGAGCTGCTCAAAGAACTATAGCATTGCTCTCTATTTCTGGGCTGGGTGATTCTGGTAAGAAACACAAAGCAGCCTACTTCCCCATTTCCCGGTCTCAAGAAGAGACAAAAACAATATACCGGCAGAGAAAGGCCCAGGACCCAGTACCTGGTTCTGATAGGCCTGGGGAGCCAGCCGCTTGTACAGAGGAGCGACTTCGGTGGCCAGGTCCTGGAAACTCTTCCGTAGCACTTCTTCCTGCGGAGAGAAGAGCACTTACACACAGCAGACAGTGCGTGTGGGAAATTAATTACCTCTCCAGAATCATTGTGGGGTTGCCACTGGGAAGGTGGGAAGCAAGATGTCATCGGGTGTTTTTGCAGCATTCTGTCTGGGAGGGTTATGGTGCCATTTTAAAGTTGGGGACACTGAAGCTTACCAGGAAAAGCCACTGCCTGACAGGTCAGTGGTGTCTCTAGGTGGCACAGATGATTAACGTGCTTGGCTGCTAACTGAAGAGCTGGCAGTTTGAGTTCCTCCAGAAGTGTTTTGGGAGAAATGCCTGGTGATTTACCTTTAAAAAAATCAGCCACTGTTCTGGTTACCTAGTGCCATTCTGACAAGAATATACCACAAATGGGATGGCCTTAACAAACAGGAGTTTATTCTTAAAATTTGGAGGCTTTAAGTCCAAGTTCAAAGTGCCAGGCTCTAGGGGCTGGGTGAAAGCCCCTCAACTCTGCCTCCTGCTCCCAGCCCACTGGAGCTAGAGGTGTTTCTTCACTCAGACAGCTGCTGGCTTCTGAGACTGAGATGCCCCAAGGTTGACAAGGAAAAAGGCACAGTCCCAATGTTACCAAACCACACGGCAGGCCATTAACTTAAGTCCACTGTAAGTCCCAAGGTTGGCAGAGCATAGCAGGCTGCTGAGCAATGACACGGCTACATGCAGTGTCAAGTCTGCCATAGGCTAGAGACCATTCCCAAGGCTTCTTAAATACAGGAAGCAGACCACATACCCAAAGGCAGCTACCCAGCTGCTTGTGGTAGATCCCACCATGGAGTTGACTGCCAGTCTCATCATGGGGATTAACTACCACGAGTTGCCCAGCCACTCAACCAGGCCCAGCCAAGCTGACACACAAAGTGAACTACCACAGCCACCAAAAATCCTTTGCAGTCAGTTCTACTCTGACACACGTGGGGTCACAATGAGTCAGAGTCATAGGCAACTGGTTCTTTGTTTTTAAAGGTCCAGTCACCCTGACTGCTAAGCTACTGCTCTTGTAGGTTACAGTCCAGTTCAGCTCAGAATATATAAAACTGGTCTTGCTTTCAAGTGCTAAGCACCCTAGGTTAGAGGTGCAGTGGACGTGTAAAACATATGAGAGACTAGTACAGATCTTTCTTTCCATGTTGTAGATGGGAAATACAGGCAGAGAGATGGTCAAGTTCCACAGCCAGCCAGGTCCAGAGCCTGCCCTGAGCCAGATACGTACATTGACTTCAAAGCTCTATCCTTTAGACCTGCCCTAATATTTTAGTCACTAGACACATCATGTAGCTATTGATTAATTTTAATTAAAATTAAATTAACTTCAGTTTCTCAGTTATACCAGCCACATTTTAAATGCACAATGGCCAGGTGTGGCTCCAGTGGTCACTGTAGTATATGGCACAGAAAACATTTCTGTCCTCCCAGAAAGTCCTAGTGGACAAAGCTGCAGCCTCTCAGTTACATGAGGCTGAAGTCTCCAGGCACCTCTGCCTCTGCATCCCTCCAAGGGCAGTAAGTACGGTTTGTAGGGGCTCTTAGCAGGCCATGAGCATAGGCATGAAGAGTTTACTGAGAGGAAAGCAGAAGGAAGAGGGGAGAGAAAAAGAATACGTTCATGGAACTAGAAAAGGAAGGGTGAGACCAATGGCTGAGAGATCCATCCAGCGAAGCATCCATGGCTGTCCAGCCACACCCCACCACACCAGCCCAAGCCAGCAGGGCCATAGCCACCTCTTGACTGCTGTCTAAAATCTGCATGTGTGTGGCACATGAGCTTTGGGGAAACATGGACTGGGTTTAAATCCCTGTAGCCACCTGGCCCTGGCCAGGCTGTTGACCTCATGTGTAAAATAAGGAGTAATTGTGCCTAGATTGGGGGTGTCATGACACTAAGTGAGATGTCTGCGAAGTGCTCAGCATTGTACGTAGCACAGCACAGGGAAAATATTTGTGAGAAATTAAGCCGATGTATTTTTGTTCCTGGTAATTCCTAAATCTTGGTGACCCTGAAGTTCCTCTACTCATTGAAGCAACTGCATGACAGAGGGTGAATGCTGTCTTAAAAGTCTAGTGTCAAATTAGACTATTTTAAGCTCACACAACAGTCTAAAAGCCAGGCTTTGAGGAAATAAGTGTTCTAAATTTGAACCTACTTCATTTTACTTTGGAGTCCCTGGTTGTGAAGAGTGAAGCCTGATAGTCTGAGCACAGAAGCTGTGTGGGCTGTGGGGTAGAGACGTCCCAAGGGAAGTCCCCACCTCCAGAGGGGAGGAGGAGCCCTTCTCGCATAAGGAAGAGTTTGGAGTGAACTGGAAGGTCTAGAGTAGGATCAAGATGCTGTTATCTGGATCCTGGTGAAGGGACCCAAGACACCACCCTCTCAGGTCTCAGGCAGAAGGGAGGGAGGCTGCTTAGGGTGACATGACTAAGAGCCCAAATAGGTGTGCACTTTCTCTGCATATGGAACTCTGAGAGGATGCCATCTCTCAGGATGCCATTCACAACACAGGCAATAGAGGGAGAAACAGCCAAGGGGGAGCTGGCCTGAGCTCCTGGTCCCCCAGTCTGAGCATGGCTGCAGTGGATACCCAGCAGCCCAGGAGTCCTGCTGTCTTGGGGGGTGAGAAGGAAGCCTCATGGGCAGAGGCAGCCTGGCCTTCAGATAAGGACTGCAGAGGGGAGACTGTATTGCTCAGTGGTGCCAGCCCAGTGCCCAAGGGCCAGGCCAGGCCTCATGTAACAGGGACAGCGAGGGCTGGGATAACCAGACAACTGCACAGAGATGCAGGCAGGATGAGGGACACCTCAGGGAGTCCAGAGGGTCCTTTAAGGGCTGCAGGCCCCTCCTCCTGCTATGCTTTTACACCCAAAGAGATATGCTTGGAAGAATGAAGAAATGATTCTTTGAGAGGGTCAAACTCTGATGAGCAATTTGAGTGTTTACCTTAAATATTCAGAATATTTATCTTAAATAGACTGTTTAAAACTAGAAGAGTCTGAGGTACCTGTTGGCAAGTCTAATTTTCCATTTGTCAACTCCCTCCATACAACTCCCCACCACACACCTTGTTTCATAGCAAGATAAGGTCAATTAAACAAAAAATAAATAAAGCAAGCTACATTTTCTGCATACCTGAGCCAGGGTGTGCTAGTCCTACCTCCCCCCTTGGCTTTTAAAGACACCAGGTGAGAAAGGATCTATGGGAAGGGTCTTGTGTTTACTGTGGAGCTCTGCTCACCTCTTTGGGATTGTCCCCTGCGAGGCGGAACTTGCGAGGTGTCTTGCTTCGTGCATATTTGCAGCCATTGAAGTACATGCTCCAGGAACAGCCAAAGGAGAAGGAGGCACCACAGGTGTTGGGGTCTTTGCCTTGGCAAGCACAGGTCCGGCTGCAATGTACAGCACAGGTGAGGCATACAGATGCAACATGCCTTTGTCCTGGACTCAGCCTCCTTCCTCAAGGGGAGGCCCTGCTGAGGCCTACTGCCCACCAGCCTCCCAGTAACTGGGACCACATCTTTTCCCACCTCCAACTCTTTTTCTTGAGCTTCTTTGGATAGAAAGCCAACTCTGTTCTGCCCTGCCCTTGAGCCTGAAGGTCTAATCCAGAGTCTGTTATTGGGAAAAGTACATGGATTGCTTGAGATAGGCATAAACAGTCTACCTTAAAAACCCAATAAGGGTTATACTGTGCCCTAACTCTAATATCTACCAGATACAACACAGAAGTACAAACAGGGAAATAATATGAACCAAAGGTTTGAACACACCTGTCTCCTATAGCCCTAGATGATTACAGGCCTTTTTCCCTTCCCCGCTAACTTTTACTTATTTTGCTGTTGCTGTTGAGAATATATACAACACAACCAATTCAAAGTCTCTGCACTGATTACATTCTTTGAGTTGTGCAACCACTCTCACATTCCTTTTCTGAGTTGTTCCTCCCTTATTAATATAAACTCATTGCCCCTTGATCTTTTGAGTTGCTGTTGTTGATTGGATCCCATATAGTTCTTAAAAAGAGCATAATGTTCAAGGTGGACTTTTTTTTAGTAGTTAAACTGTTATTTGGTTTTAAGACTTTAGGGGATAGTTTTGGTTTAAGGTTTAAAGATCATCTCAAGGCAGTGGTTTCAGGGGTTTATTCATCCAAAAAGTTGGGAGTCCATGAAAATTTGAAGTTATGGTTTGTATTTTCCCCTTTTTGATCAGGAATCTTACATAGAACCTTTGATCAAAATGTTCAGTAATGATTGGTAGGCACCATCCAGTTCTTCTGCCTCACGGCAAAGGGGGCAGTTATTCACAGAGGCAATTAGCCACATATTCCATTTCCACCTCTAATTCCTAACTCTCCCCTTCCTTCTCTGTTGCTCCTGGTGAATAGAGACCAATTGTTGTGCCTTGGATGACAGTTAGTAGGCTTTAAGACCCCAGGCACTAGCAATGAACAAGGAGGTAGAACAGAAGCACTAAACACATTATTAGGCTAATTAACTGGGATGTCTCATGAAACCTTGAGCCTAAACCTTCAAACCAAGGAACCAAATCCCACGAGGTGTTTGCTTGTACACAAGCAGTCTCAGCACTTTTTTTTTTTTTTTTTTTGGTAACTGTTATATCACACAACTTTTGCCAATTCAACTTTTTACAGGTGTATTACTTATTGACTAATTACAATAATCAGCTGTGCAACCCTGCCCTTAATCAGTGCAATTTTCCCATCAATATTAAGCCCTCTTTTCCCCCTCCCTTTCACCCTTGACTAAAAACAAACAAATAAACAAACAAACAAACAAAAACCCCAACCCAAATCAAACCCACTGCCTCAAGTCGATTTCGACTCATAGCAACCCTGTAAGACAGAGTAGAACTGTGCCATAGGGTTTCCAAGGCTGTAAGTCTTTACAGAAGCAGACTGCCACATCTTTCTTCCACCCAGTGGCTGGTGGGTTCAAACCACCAACCTTTTGGTTAACAACTGAACATTTAACTACTGTGCCATGCCACCAAGGCTCTTTCACTTCAGGAAATCACTAATAGTCTCTATACATTTGCCTTTTTTTGTTGTTGTTTTGTGTCTTTTTGTGTAAGTGAGGTCATACAGTATTTGTCCTTCTGTGATTGACTTATTTCACTCAGCATAAGGTGTTCAAGCTCCATCCATATTGTAGCATGTATCAAGACTCCGTTTCTCCTACTGGCTGAGTATTATTCCATGTATGTATGCTATGCACCACATTTTGTTTATCCATTCATCTGTTGATGGGCATTTAGGTTGTCTACTTCTTGGCTGCCTAAGGCACTTGACTGCTAACCAGAAGGCTGGTGGTTCAAACCCACCAGCCACTCCTCAGAAGGAAGATGGGTCGATCTACTTCCATAGTGATACTGCCTCGGAAACCCAAGGAGGGGTCGCTATGAGTCAGGGCCAACTCGATGGCATATAACAACAACAACTTCTTGGCTATTGTGAATAGTGCTGCAATGAAAATGGGTATACAAGTCTCTTTTTGAGTCTCTGCTCTGATAGGCCTTTAAACCTTTCATGACCCATATAGCACTTTCCTATCTTCCAAGGGTCTCTGCGTGGGTTCTAACCCCAGGTATAAGGTAAAGATTCTAACACATATTTCTGGGGATACAATTAAATTCTTAACAGCCAGGTGGTTGTTGCTGTTAGTTGCAATTAAGTTGGCCTTGAACCCATAGTGACCCCATGCCAAAACCAAACCCAAATTCACTGCCATGGAGTTGGAATCTGACTCACAGAGACCCCTACTTGGGCTTCCAAGGCAGTATCACTATGGAAGTAGATGCCCAACCTTCCTTCCGAGGAGTGGCTGGTGGGTTTGAACTGCCAGCAGGAAACAAAATGTTGCCTGGTTTTTCTCTAGGGATTATTGGGCAGTGCATGCAGTCATCAGGAGGGGGCCTGTATAATTGTTTGAAGCAGAAGAAATGTGTGTGCTGCTAATTACTGTTTTTACAGGGTATTGTATGAGGTGATGTATCCTGGAGGTGTGATTTGGTAAAACTTTTGTCTCTTTTGACTTTTTACTGGGAGATAAGCCTTGAAAGTATATTTCCAGGTTCCTGTGTGTTATTTGGAAGTTGCTGTTCTAATGACAATTCTATATTCATACAAATACTGCATTTTCAGGTGTTCTAAATTGTATGCACTTGTCAAGGACTCTACAAGGTACTGCAGAATCCAGAGGGACATATGTGTCCCACTAACACTCCCCAAATCCAGAGGAACATGTGTCCCACAAAATTTTACCTCAAGTCCAGAGGAACAAGTATATCCCACATAATCCTACCCACCAGAGTCAAGAGTAACAAGTGTGTCCCACATAATCCTACCTAAGAGTTAAGAGGGAGGGACATGTATGTCCTGTACAATATGTATCACAATCTATATTTTACAACAAAATTTCAGAAATGTGCTTTGATTCAGTATAAAACCAAACCCACTGCTGTTGAGTAGGATCTGACTCATTGCAACCCCTCCTTGGATTTCTGAGGTGGTATCTCTATGAAAGTAGATTGCCCAATCTTCTTTCAGAGGAGCAGCTGGTGGTTTTGAACTGCCAGCCCTTCTGGTTAGCAGTCAAATGCCTTAGACACTATGCCACCAGAGCTCCCCTTTGATCCATTATGCCTTCCATTAATGAAAACACATGATATCAACAAAAAATTCAAAGTGGAAAATAATTGGATCATGAAAGGATTAAACAAATGAACACTGAAATTAAAATTCAACACTTAATAAAAATCTGGAAACAACCCAAATGCCCCTCAACTGAGGAATGGATAAACACATTGTGGTACATTGATACACAGAATATTACTCAGCAATAAAAGGAATGAGTACTGACTGACACATGTCAACATAGATGAACCTCAAATTCATTATTCTCAGTGATAAAGGCCAAACTCAAAAGGCCACACACTAGATGATTCCATTTACATGACAATCTTGCAAAGGCAAACCTACAGGGACAGGAAACAGATGGGTGGTTGCCAAGAGCTGGAAGTAGGGGAAGAGCTTGACTGTAAGGGGGCAGGGGGAATTTTGGGGGATAATGGAACAGTTTTATATTTTGACTGTGGTGGAGGCCTGTTAACATCTGTCAAAACTCTCAAAACTGTATACCTGAAAGTGTGAATTTTCCTGTAAATAATTACAGATTATAATAAGAAGAAGAAGACCCCACAATAGGCTACCATAGAATATATTCAGCCATAGGAGAAATGAAGTCCTGACACATGCTACAACATGGATGAACCTTGTAAATATTTTGCAAAATGAAGTCAGTGAATTACAAAAGGACAAAAAGAATCTCACTTATATGAAATACCTAAAATAGGCAAATGTATAAAGACCAGGGTCTATTAGTGGTTACCAGGGGTGGGAAGGAGGGGGACAAGGGGGTCGTTGTTCAGGAAGCAGTGAGTTTCTGTTTACAGTGGCAGCAAATCTGGCAATGATATTGGTGATAGTTGCACAACATGATTAATATAATCGATGTCACTAAATTGTACATGTGAAAAATGTTAATTTGGCAAATACTATGTTATATATATA